GTTTGGGCAAGCGTAATATATTCTTCTCCTGTTCAATATCTTTATTTTTTTCTGGACATGTCACAGATGCTTGATCTGAAAGTTGCATCTGCTGAAACTGTCTGCTTTGGGAATTTGGCTTCTAATAGCATGCGTTCCTGCATGAAAAGAAGTATTTTATTATTTGGCTGACGCAACAAGTCCTCCTTCCTGGATTTCACGACTGATGATCTTTGACTGGAAAAAAATATATATACTTGGAACAACTATAGTTAGTTCTTTGATTTTTAGAAAAAGGAGCAAACCTTCCCCAGGAAATTTTAAATTCATGATATCCATTTAATATTTCTGTAGCACAACTACTTTAAGCCAAAGAGCCCATTTCCTGTGGACATTCTAAAAAAAAAAAGGCTGATGTGTGATGGCTTAAAATGAGATCTGGCAACATTTTGTAAAGACAATAGTGGAAATCGCTGCCAACTTGAAACATGCCGATATCCCATATTTTCAATAAATATATATACTTTTAAAAAAAGAGGAAGGTGGGACAAGGAATGTAAGGACACTGTAGGAGGTATCTGCAATGGCATGAGCATTGTGCATGTATGTGTCTATGCAATATAATCTGCAAGATGGCAGTGTGACTTGAGGCCTGCATCTTTTATAAATGCATCAATGTCACATGCACAAAAGAGGCAATTCTGATCATGAGGTCTTGTCCTTCATCTTGCAGATTTTGATCTCCCTCCTCCAACAGATAGCCAGGTAGGTGTCCACTCTTTTTCAAAACGAAAGACCTGGCATCCCTTTCAGGTCTGTTTGATTCACCAGCCAGAACAACAAATATCTTGTGCTATTTCCCAGATAGGTAGCAAAACGAAAATATATCACTGTATGTAACAGCTACCATCATAAGGATACTTATTGGTAATTATCACTTTATGATGATATCATAAACAGAAAATTATGATGAAACCTCATTTGAAATGCCAGAGTTTATAATACTTCAGCAAAAAATATGAGTAATGATATTCAAAGAGTTTCATATAAGAACTGTGTACAGATCTGGTTTAAACCTGTTTTGCTGGAACTAATAGGCCTGTTTATTTCTGAACTGGTGAAATCTGAGGAAGGGAATAGGGTCCTCTAACTCCTTAAGATGGCTGATAGGACACGTTTGGTGATTAATGCCACTTTTAGGGAGGGTAAAAAGCCACTGCCCTTGAAGTTGGTGGTGTGACCTGTTGAAAAAGTCCTCTTTAAATCCAGCCATATTGGGCAACTTCCACCTAGACTCCAACTTTCCCTTTTTAGAAGAGGTTAGTACGGAATCAGGGTTTCAACATCTGCCCCACAAATACTTGTTGGAGGTCTTTGAGAAACTAAGGGTAGTGTGGATGGATGGATGGATGGATGGATGGATGGAGTTCAGACACAGCTCATTTTCCATCACTAGAGGTTTGCCTCTTGATTAAAGATTCTGGGAACTTTGAAAAGAAGCAACATAGTTAAGAACATATTCAGAGGAAAAAATCTGACAGAAATATCACATATCACAATCCTGAAATACAGTTTAATTTATCATAAACTCTGGTTTACAATACAATCATGGAGTGAGACAAGATCTTTTGTCAGTCACAGTGTAACTTTGTATCTGTTCTGCTTAAAAGGGCTAAAAAGAATAGTGTTTTTATTTGTAAACTTTACAATTGATTTTAAAACAGAATTGCCTTTTTCACACCAAACATTTATAAAGGTCCTCTTTGTAGCACACAGAAGTACAGGCACTCAGGAACAGGTATATATTTCCCCCCAGACAAGTTGTTGTAGCTTTTGTGCCTTCACATATATTTGACTCCCAATACTGTAGCCAGTAATGAGCCAATAATCTCACAAATGAGTTCAGGCTACTTACATTCAGACATCTTCAAATGCAAGCCCAATTAATCAAATATTTATTCTGTGTTTCTTCAATTGCTTGTTCTTCTTCCAGTCTAGTAAAAGTATGACTACATATTTAATCATTCAAGAATATAGGAGTGTTTTCCTACAGTGTAGAATCTTTGGCCTAGATTGTATCAAGGAGCTCAAAGGTAGGTAAAGCCTAAGAGATCTTTCTAAACCCTGTCATAAATCAAGTTTCCTTATTAGCAAAACCCATTCTCAGGTATACAGAAAATAATTTGCAAGTCAATTTTTAAGATTAAAAGTAAATGGCAGGCAGTTTTTTCTCCCTCTTTCTGCAAGGTAGCCTTTTAAGATTTTTTAAATTACTGAATCCTGCAACCCAAATAGGCTATATGAGAAACTGATGAACAAAACATTTATCAATAGATGTAGCCATTTTATCTATTATTTTCTATTACAGATCAAATCATATTCTTGTTTTGCTTTCTATCCACCAGCAATGACTGTAATCTTAGCTTTGGAAGAAGCGAATCTGGAAATTTTATAACAAGAATTGCATTCCTAGCTCAGCTATCACTAATTACATCTGGGTATGGATATTTCAGATTATGGAAGTACATATATTCTTCTTGATCCTTCCATATGCAGAAAAATATTACACATACAAGAAGTCAAGAACAATTAGGATGTGGTCACCAATAACTCAACTTGATGGCCGATAATAAAAACGCTATAGGTGTGAAAAGTGGTGTCTTTATCTTAAAACAATACTGCCACTAAGCTTGTGTCAATATTAAACACCACACTTCATACTTCATTTTTTAAGCAGAAAAAGATTTTTTTGTTCAGGCAACTAGTAAGAGAGTTGCAAGGAAAGGTGCAAGAACAAGTGAAATATAGATTTTAAGAACCTGAAATAAGTTTCATAATTGTATAGGTCTTGATTTGGCATCAGACAAGTATTATACTATATAGTTGTGCTCAAAAGTTTACATACCCTGGCAAAATTTATGATTTCTTGGCCATTTTTCAGAGAATATGAATGATAACACACTTTTCTTTCACTCATGGTTAGTGTATGGCTGAAGCCATTTATTATCAACCGGGTTTACTCTTTTTAAATCATAAAGACAACAGAAACTACCCAAATGACCCTGATCAAAAGTTTACATACCCTGGTGATTTTGGCCTGATAACATCACACAGGTTGGCACAAAAGAGTTTGAATGGCTATTAAAGGTAACCATCCTCACCTGTGATCTGTTTGCTTGTAATTAGTGTGTGTATATAAAAGGTCAATGAATTCCTGGACTCCTGACAGACCCTTGCATTTTTCATCTAGAGCTGCACTGATGTTTCTGGCTTCTGAGTCATGGGGGAAGCAAAAGAATTGTCAAAGGATCTACGGGAAAAGGCAGTTGAACTGTATAAACCAGGAAAGGGATATAAAAATATATCCAAGGAATTGAGAATGCCAATCAGTACTGTTCAAACACTAATCAAGAAGTGGAAAATGAGGGGTTCTGTTGAAACCAAACCAGGGTCAGGTAGACCAACTAAAATTTCAACTACAACTGCCAGGAAAATTGTTCGGGATCCCAAAAAAAACCCCCAAAACCCACAAATAACTTCAGGTGAAATACAGGACTCTCTGAAAACATGTGGTGTGGCTGTTTCAAGATGCACAATAAGGAGGCACTTGAAGAAAGATGGGCTGCATGGTCAAGTCACCAGAAGAAAGCCATTTTACAATGCAAATGCCACAAAGTATCCCGCTTACAATATGCCAAACAGCACAGAGACAAGCCTCAAACCTTCTGGCACAAAGTAACTTGGACTGATGAGACCAAAATTGAGCCTTTTGGCCACAATCATAAACACTACATTTGGAGAGGAGTCAACAAGGCCTACCATTACTACTGTGAAACATGGAGGTGGATCGCTGATGTTTTGGGGATGTGTGAGCTACAAAGGCACAGGAAATATGGTCAGAATTGATGGCAAGCTGAATGCAGTATGTTATCAAAAGATACTGGAGGACAAATTGCATTCATCAGCCCGGAAGCTGCGCATGAGAAGTACTTGGACATTCCGACATGACAATGATCCTAAACACAAGGCCAAGTCGACCTGTCATTGGCTACAGCAGAATAAAGTGAAGGTTCTGGAGTGGCCATCTCAGTTTCCTGACCTCAATATCATCGAGCCACTCTGGGGAGATCTCAAATGTGCAGTTCATGCAAGACAGCCCAATAATTTACAGGAACTGGAGGCTTTTTGCCAGGAAGAATGGGCAGCTTTACCATCTGAGAAGATAAAGAGCCTCATCCACATATACCACAAAAGACTTCAAGCTGTCATTGATGTTAAAGGGGGCAATACACCATATTAAGAACTGGGATATGCCAATTTTTGATCAGGGTCATATGGGTAGTTTCTGTTGTCATTATGATTTTAAAAGAGTAAATACAGTTGATTGATAATAAATGGCTTCAGCCAACCACTAACCATGAGTGAAAGAAAAGTTTTTGTGTTATCATTCTTATTCTCTTAAAAATGGCCAAGAAATCATAAATTCTGCCAGGGTATGTAAACTTATGAGCACAACTGTATGGGTATGCATCAAGGACACTGCTCTCAATCCTTGAACAAGTCTAATGAGAATATCTCAAGTAGGTCCCCAATACTACAAGCTTCACAAAAGTAACCATAACCATGAGTAAATGTTCAGAAGGCACTTGACATATAGATTTATGTTTTATAATTTTGCTTCTTAAGACATAGGAGTAGGCTGGCAACCAAGCACACTGCATGCCTCAGACACAGCTTTGACTATCTGCTCTAAAAAACAAAATAATTCTGCTGTGACACAAACTGAAAAAGGTATACTCTGAACTGGAAAAATTCCATCCAGATATATCTTTTTATAGGCTTGTTTTTAAAACATGTATATGCTTTGATGTCAAAAGCTTTAAGCTGTTCTTCTGTAGTTGCTTATCTGTAAGCAAGTTTTGCTGAAACCAATGAATTTCAGGTAGCCATGGAAAAATTCATGCCAATATTATCTCACTGTTGCTTTGAGGGATCATGATTGCAGCCATGATGAGTAATCCTTCTGTTCATTAATCTTCTTTGATATATTATTACAATCTGCAGAAGGAAACTATTTAGCCTGGGATGAAAAACCAAACTGCTTTAGCTTGCAACACTGCAACCTTGTGCCTGTACTGCCAGCTGCTGAATTGAGTTTGTTACAGTGTTCCACAAAATGTTCCACCAATACAAGCATGGTTTTCTCTTAGCTGCCATGCACTGAAATCTTCATGTAGTTGTTTGTGATGATTTGAGTGCTCTTCAACATAGCCTAGAGGTTGGGATAACTCATATTCTACATAAAGAGGGTTGAATGTTAAAGGGAATTGATAATTCCAAGATCTTTAGCTTACCCAGTGAATCCTTGATGAAGCGCATTAACAGAAAAAACGAAGTTCAATCTTTTTCCCTCAGAGACAAAGGGATTTGCTTAGTCTTTCTATCTTGAAAAAAAGACTATTCACTTGCCATGTTACTGAGATTCTTTTTTCAACACAAGAAAAGATGATTCTCTAAAGTACGATTGAGAAGGTGGAAACCCCACCCCCCTACCTATGAAGCCCCATGTCCATAATCAAAGAAGAACAGCCTTCCTGAGATGCAGATAGGGTACCAATTGGATTGCTGGAGTTGATGTCTTTATTACTAAATGTACACTTTGGATGATTCAGAACATGTTCCCTAATAGTCATCCAAGATCCACCTGTCCAGGAATTTCAGTGCATTTCCTTTTCTTCTTGAGGAACATGATCTGATCAGCCACTGCTGCAGATTCACTATGATTTGAATTCATTTCATAAGTTAGAGTTCATCCTGGTTTTCAGAAAAGGGAGGAAAAGAACAGAAAACATGACTGAGTGAGTAAAATACTGAGAAATTTATTTCATTTGTAATCTCAGAAACCCAGCTTCTTCTGTTCTATCTGCTACAGAAAGATCAGCTGTGTGTTATATCTTAAAGCAGAGGTCTCCAACCTTACAAGTCTTAAAGTTGCCAAGGTTGGAGACCTCTGCCTTAAAGAGAGGAAAACTCAATTCTTTATTTACTTTGTTACAATGTATTAAATATTTCCTAGGTGTTCAATATCGGTCCCTTCCCTGTGGATTAAATCTTACGACACACTTTTTTTTTCTTGTTGTGTTATTTTGCAATGACCTCCCAGGGATCGCAAAGGACTCCCATATCATGTTTTTGTTTACTACAACCTGTTTGGGCTGCAGTCCCATCCAAAGTCAGCCTTCTTAACTCCACTAATCAGCAAATATTTGAAATGATTCAGTCTCAACCATGAAATGTTGAAATTGAAAAAGGAAAGGAAAGGAAACGTAAGAATGTCATCCTTTGGAAACAGGATGCGTTTTTTTCAGGTTTGTATTACATTACATTTTTGCTTTTTGGCAGTTTCTCAAACCCAGCACACATGCAGCAACCCAAATTCCAGTCACCAAGGCCAACATATCTGGAGGGCATGAAGAAGGGGTTTGTATTAGTAATTAATCATCCAATAAGATGGGACAGTGATCTGATTCAGAAAAGTTATTCGACATTCAGGAACAAGTTTTTCAAGCACATTAATATTCATTGGACAGACTGATGAAAATTGGGTGTCCAGTAAATCAGTATTCTCTATTCTTGACAAAGTTTTTCCACAAATGCAACCACTACCATATCCGGGCTGTAAATATTCAGGAAAATCTCTTTGTTAACATCTAATGATCACACTGATTTTTTTGCAGGCCAAATATGGCAGCTAAAAAATACTGATGGAACAAGATAATAACATTTAGCTATGTTTCTGAAGAAAAAAAAAAAACCTTGTAAAATATTGCCTACCTTTTTTCTGGAAGACTGTTTTTTCTTTTTTTTAAGGCTTTTCACTTTCTCCATCAGTAGTTCAGTTATGACTTTTGCATCATGGCTGTCAATCTGCTCTCCCAAAATATTTTTCTTTAAAAACAGAGCAAGAAAGAATGATCAGCTCTGCTCAAGATACACGCACATCCAAGGAACAAACAGATATACAGGTGGTTTAATAGTAATGTTTGGTGTTGCTTAAGTAGGTAATGAATGCGTAGGCTTAATATTGCTGTCTTTGGAAGAACAAAGTGATACCCATAAATAAGGAGTAGCTTAATATTGAGGTCAGGATTTAGAAATCCCACCCCCACCTCTTTTGAGCTTACAGTACTTAACAGGTGGGCTTATAATCAGGGAGTGAGGCTCTGCATATGAACAGATACATTTATTAATAAGTATTTTCTGAAAACACTTGTAAATGCCCATCCTATAACTATAGCTTAGTAAACCATGGTTTATTTAAGACAGAGAACCAGGCATCTAGTACTTCAAACTACCAGTTGCTTTCCTGCAGGTTTTCATAAGAGAGTGACTATGGCAAGATGGCACAGGTGTTAATCCTCAAATATTCTAATCTACTCCTTGCAACTGCTGATACAGATGGCTTACCTTTGTTCCTTGATAAGGATAAAATTTAACTGTGGGATAGGCTCTGATTCCAGCAGATTGACACGTATGAGCATAGGCTTGGCAGTCAACTTTGCCAGCTTTCACTTTTCCTTTAACAGTCTTTTAAAACAGGAAAAAAGAAAAGGAGTTGCATGTTAAAGTCCATTAACTTAACAATTAGTTTTACTACTAAGCAATTAGGTGAAAGCAGTTAACTTGTCATTCATTCATTCATTCATTCAAACACTCCAGTCTCATAACTCTGTGCAGTTAATGCTTCTGTCATCCCAAATTACTTATTTTTTCTAACTAAACAGTCTCAAGAGCTTCCAAATCAATGGATCTTGATTCAGCCATTCTCAACTTTTCAGGCTATTTCAAGGAAAGGAGAGAACTCCCATCCCACCCCAAAATGTAGCACATTCCTCACTTGAAATTTGCCATAAGAGGATTTGTTTGTTTGGAATGATAAATTAGTTCTAGCATTACTAATACAGACATAAATCAACCGGGCAGATCCTGGGAAAGCGGCCTTTGAGCTACAGTGAATTCCTGTGAGAAAAATCACACTTATGTGCTTGAGCGACTGAAACTGATTTTCAAAGTTCAGGTTCAAACACTTTCTGCCCCACAAGGTATCCCTACTCATGGTCTCTTCTTCATTTTTTTATCCCACCTTTTTTATATATACCATATATACTTGTGGCTATACCTAATCTCAGATAAGCTGATCATGGCTTATCTGCACATAAATACAGTAACTCAAGGTGGCAAAAATACCTCATACTCCTGCTTCCTATACTCCCCCCAACAATCTTGTGAGGTAATTGAGGCTGAGAGAGTGACCGCAAAACAAGCTTTCCAGGAAGGCCTAGAAGTGACAGTCTTCTGGTTTTTAGGCCAGCACCTTAACCACCGAACCAAATAAGCCAATGAGGTTCACCATTATTTTTTCCAGACACTAATGGAGAATTTGTTTGCCAGAAATGAACTATGTTTAGATAAGTATATTGTCAACATGTCTATCTCTGACATAGACTCCTTTTATTATTTTGCTTCAATCGTCATTCCCCACTTTTGAGTTTTGAGAAGTCCTTGGTGCTCACTAATGATGTTAACTAGATTGATGTTACCTAGGTGTTCATTGTGATATTAGGAGCACCCGCTGTGATTTTAGGAGCATCATGCTGGTGCTCACCAGTGATGTTGTTCACTGCTGATGTTACCTAGTTAAGTAATGAAACACTCACAAGCAAATAACCAAGCTCAGAGAGCACCAAGGACTCCACAGTTCAACCCTGAGCTACATACGTTTTCTTCTGCTGGAGACTGTATTTGAATGAGAAAAATAATCTAGAGGTTACAATGCTAGATATCCTGGCTGGGAGCTAATTTGTGGGATACATCAAGTAAATTCAATTGAACAAATATTTTCTGATGCTGGAAAACCATAAGAATTTACCTTTGCTAATATCTCAAACTCTGGAGCAAAATTTTGGCAAGGGCCACACCAAGGCGCATAGAAGTCAATGACCCAGTGATCCTTTCCATTCAGAACTTTATCACTGAAGCTCTGAGGTGTCAGGTCCAGAGACACTCGAGGCAGATAACTAAAGAAACAAAAGAGCCACTGAAATTGACAATGAGGTTAATACCTTCATGTGAAGGAGTTCAGAGAATCTTGAGTACAACAAACAACTCAATATTCTTAAAAGCAGAGATTCATGAAAGTTGATTTTGACTACACATTCATCATCATCAAAGTTGAAGAGCAACTATGGAAATACTGATCAACCTGAATTTCAGAAAAAAGTAACATTTTACTATATTTGAGTGAAGAATTTGCTTTGATTAATTTCACTTAGGATCTTAATAATAAAATTTTGAAGAGCTCCAACAATTTAAATGATGAATCAACTCCAAAAATTTATTCAGCAAAAGGAGCTAGGGTAGGCCAGAATTTCTGGTTTTAGAAGATGCATTGTATGAAAAGCATTGCTATAAGCTTCCACATTTCTAAGAACTCTTCATCAGGCAAACTGATTTTTTAAGCAAACAAAACAAATTTTAATCAAGCTGTGAACAAAGGTAGAGCTAAGCAACTCACCCAAGTGCCCATTTTCGCAATGAATTGGCATCTCGATGCCAGCCATTGTAGCTACTGTTGAAAGGAATATATAAAAAACAAAGTTACCTTCCTACTAAGAGATTCAGTTGTGAGAAGAGCTGTATAAAAATATCCTTACCCTGAATCTGACTAATACATTTTTCTTTAAACAAACACTCTGCAGTCTCAATTTTTGCCCAAGATTTCCCTCAAGTTTTCTTCCATAGAAGAAATTCTATATGACAGGAAGGGACAATTGAATGTTATGGATTCTGAAATGGGTGTACTTTTATTTTATTAAAATTTATGAATAGTAAGAATATACTACAAGTGCATCTGTGCTAGGTCAGATTCAGTAGTTCTCTCTGTCCAATGGTCAAAGTCTTAGGAAGCTTGCAAGCCACCAGTGATTTAGAAGGATAGTGTGCCCTCATCTGGCGTTTCATACAGCAGTCATCCCTAATAGGTGCTATTAGGATCTATTTCATCCCAAATTTATCTAAACATGTTTTAAAGTTCCTATACTAGATTCACCACATGTCAAGGGCAGGAATTCCATAAATGAGTAGTTACATGTAGCTGAGTAACAAAAATGGTACAAAAAAGATTTATTCCAAAGAATAACAAAGCGCCATGCTAAGATACCTACATCACTGTGCTCATTTAGTTTAGTTAATGGTGAGATCCACAATATGAATAGTGACGTTTGAATACAAGCCATATTTTATATTAGACAGTCATTATTTCCCCCATGTAGATTTGCTGAGATCTTCAAAATACACCTACACATACAAGCATTTTTAACTATAGCATTTTTGCATGAATTTAGCCTAGTATAGGAATAACTGCATTACTCACTAGTGCTGATAAGAGGAAGACGATTTTTGTGGGAACAGCCTTATTTCAGGATAGCCTTGAATGTTTTCTTGATGACACAGAGAAAAATATTTTTGGCAGTCCACACTACCGACTACAACCAGTCCATTCAGCAACTAAAACAAAGGGTTGTATTATTCAATTTGAGTTGTAAAAATTGCTCCAATAAACCATCCAAACATAACTGCAATAAAAAAATTAATATGTTTTTTTTAAAAAGAAAACCTACCCAATTACCTTATTCAATAGTTTGTCATCTGAAGAGTTTGCTAAGAGTTTCTCCACAGGCATGTATCCATGACTTGAGTTAGCAAAAAGTACACTGGCATGAAATTTGGTACTCTCCTTTGTCATTCCTTATCTATAGCCTGTTTCAACTCACTCAATGTAACAGGAAACAAAGTCTGACAGATTTTATGCAGCTTGAGGCTGTTCTTTGGAAATGTCAGCATAAGTGGAAAGATACCACTTAAACACCAGTACAACTAAGGACAACTTAAGACTATCTCACTCATAAGCAGGGTAAGAGATGAAAGCAACCTCCTGAGGACACAGCATAAAAAGTTGCTGCCACGCATATTAGTGCCTCATTACATACATGTTAGAAAAGGCGCCCAGACTGTCTTTATTTTTGTATGGATTTCAATACACACTGGGTGTAAAAAGAAAGAATGCACACCTCTTTGCAAGCCTCTGAATTACATGAGCCTAGCCTATGTCCTAGGTGGTGAAATTTTGAGTTTTTATATGTGTATAATGGTTATGGGGATGATAGTAAACCAAGCCTTTAAGATCTCATTATAAAAACGATCTAAAGATAAAATGGCAATAAGCAGATGAAGTATAGCTGATGTTCATCTAGCTAAGTTTCTCCAATGAATTTCTAGTCCCAAACTGCTTTTAAGAAAGTTATGTTAAAAAGCAATCTGGAGATGCATCTTCCTGTTCCCAAAGACAATACGTTGCAATTGTAGTCAAGCAGCCAAGAAGTCATCATTTCCCCTGTGTTTGCCTAAGTTAACGATCTTTTTCTGCGTTTCTTTTCTCTGACATTCTAGGCCATGAACAGCAATGCATTATTCAAAATAACTGAGGAATTTAAACAGACCAGAGCCATAAATCAGACATGGAATCTCAAAAGAAAAGCACAGCCCCATTTCATGTCTATTTTCACTGCATTTAGAAATCTGCTGCACTATTCCAATGAATTCGAACTATGGAATTAGTTGCTATGGAATATCAGTATCTGCTACAAAAGTGCAATTTATAGGGGCAAGCAGGTAATCTGGGCCCTGCTTATGTTCAAGTCTACTATCTATTACAGGGGTCCCCAAGCATAGCCGGCTGAAGAATTTTGGGAGTTGAAGTCCACAAGTCTTAAAGTTGCCAAGTTTGGGAACCCCTGATCTATTACATACCCTTTTCTGCCTACTTTTTATGACAGAAAGGAATTAAAATATTGAATGAACTAAAGTTAGTAGTTGTCATGGCAAACTCAAACTTAAACTCTTCCAAATGTGCAACACTGGGGTTGTTTTATTTAAGAGCAGCATGTTCAGGCCTCTCTGTTGGCAACAACTTTTTATTAACACTGACTGTGTGAACCTTGACTTCCAATTTGAATAGAATGGCTTGCCTTCAGAAGTTGTGGGTGCTCCATCACTGGAGACTTAAGAAGAGACAGGACAGCCACTTGTCTGAAATGGTATAAGGTCTTCTGCTTCAGTAGGGGGTTGGGCCTTCTGCTTCAGTAGGGGGTTGGCTGAAGACCTCCAAGGTCCCTTCCACCTCTGTTATTCTGTCTTTTGAACTTGGACCCGGAACTGGCTGATGAATCTTCTACAATCCTTGGATTTCATTTGATCACTCTTGTACCTGCTCTTTTGGATTGGAAGTTTAAGGCAAGCTTTTGGGGACTTGATTCCTCTGCTCTGGGCATGTGTGCAGCTGCACTTACACTTCCTTTTCCTCTTGTTTACTTATTTCACAGATGTATCAGTAAGGTTTGGAACCATCTCACTAGGGTTTTGTGTATGCTTGCCCTGGAACAGGACAGGAGTTCGTTTATCACAGACAAACAATATGTAAAAAATTATGATAGATGTAGTATATTAAAATCAAATGTTATGGAATACTGAGGGAGTTTCCATGGATGGTGTTTTGGGAAAAAAAAATGTTGAATACACTCTAAGTCTAAGACAACTAAAAATGAGCAATATTTGCTTTTACCCTTGCCATCTTCTTCCATTCTGGCATTAAAGCTTGGCAGGGACCACACCATGGAGCATAAAAATCAACCATCCAGATTTCGTTATTCTTCCTTTTCTTCACTAGCTCAGCGAAGGTATCTGGTGTTAGGGATATCACTGATGGATTCATAAGATCCTAAAATACAGAATGGAAAAGATTTAATGAAATTCCTTTTCAAATGTATTAACCCTCACCAATCCTACCAAACAGTGCTGGGCAACGTTGTCTCTGGGGGAGATAGGTAGGGCTTCCTGGGACTATATTAAGGTTTAAAATGGAAAAAAAATGGTGTTATACAGTTTACATTTCCTTCTTTGTAATTATTACCTTATGATTATTTATATTTACTTTGTTTTAAATTATTTACTAAACGTATAGTAATATATAATGCTTTTAATGTACTATGACAACATTTGCAACATTTTTTTAGATACAAAAGTTTCATTAAATAAATTTATGATTGAAATAAATTGTCATTTTTTCCCCATACATATCTTACAGGCCAAAGAGTCTAACACACATCCTTGAATTATTTCTGCCTTGTATACTTCAGCTTTTGTATGATGCTAACTGGACCATAGTTGTTCTGATTACATCTGTTTTCCTGTAAAGCTGTTGAGACTCCTGTCGGATTGCAATGTGGTAGAAAATGTTAATAAATAAATAATTACCTCAATAAATTCCAAGATCTGTTCAGCTGAGTGATGTCCTCCATATTCATGCATGTGAGACTGATTGAATACCACAGTAGTTGGATAAGCTCTAATGTTATGCTATAAAAGATCATGAAGTAAAAAGTATTGAGAAATGGCAGGAGGTAGGCCTCCTTTCATTCAGTACTCTGGCAGGCACTTTCTTCTGAAAACCAAAGCACCCATATCCTATATTACTGCAATCATTTATTTAAAAAAAAACAGAAGTGAACAAAACACAGGTGTCAGATGGGATAACTATTAGTCAGGTTAAAAAAAAGTTTTATATTGCAATTGTATATATTTAAGTCCCAACAAACATGGACAAGACTACAGGTTCAAAGTTATACATTGTAATTCAAAGAACACTGTTTTAACTTCTGTGAAGTGCTTTAACTTTTTTTTTAAGAAGTAGAATTTAACTTAAGGAAATAAAGATATTTCCTGATTATTAAGACCCAAACTTTAACAGTAAATAAGCAATAGACTTATCCAGAGATATCTCTTATCTGGATATTCACCTCTATTATAAAGTTCTAATTCTTTAAAATCAGATAAACTATTCTGACTACTTTCTATGCACTTTATTTTCAAGGTTTAAGGTTCATGAAGTTTAAAAGTTGTAATATCCTCAAAGAATCAGTGTGTCTGTGCATGTGCACCATGCAACTATGTGTAGAAGACAGTCTTTCATATAAACAGAAACTTACAAAAAGATGTAAGTTTCCCCATTCCCCCCATCATCATACCTTAATAGGAGTAAGTGTACGCCAGTGTAAGTGTATACAAGTAATGTTACTTGCAACTTACCAAATTGCAAATCCCTTCATGAACTGTACAATCCAATGTCCCAAACTTTAGTTGGCCATACAGATGCTTTGATGCTTTCCTCAGTTCTGGCAATAAAGCCCGGCAAGGAGGACACCACTAGTATCAAAGAGGTAGAATGAAGAAACAAATAAAATAAAAAAAAGAACCTCCTCAGTCAACAGAGCAACACAATTTTTGGTTCTTTTTAATCAATTGTTGTTGACAATTACCTATTCATACATAATCTTTCGCTAAGGGTTCAACTAGAAGGAATGCACAAGAAACTCTGGGCTCAGTTCTTTAAGGATGAATTTATTTCTATGCTTCTATTATTCAACATACGTTTCTGCACTGGCGACACGGGAGGTACTTTTTTGTGTGCGTGCCTTCAAGTCAGTTGTGATTCTTCCTGACTACCTGGATATGTTCTTGCCGTTTTTATAGGAAGATTTTCAGAAGTGGCCTGCCATTGCCTTCTCTCTAGGGCTGAAAGAGAATACTTTGCCCAAGATCACCCAGCTGGCTTTATATTAAAAGTGGAACTAGAACTCACAGTGTCCCAGATTCTACCTTGGTTACTTAACTTAACACACAAAACTGACTCTTGATGAAACACTTACAGGTGCAAAAAAATCAACAAGCCATGGTTCTTTCTTCTTGCCAGGAAAATTTTGAGGTCCAAGTGTAATGACGTGAGAATTCACGCTCTCCTTGGCAAAGGCCACTAAATCATACAGAATATTTTTCCCTTTAAAAGGAAACAAAAATAAGAGACGTGGTGTAGACAGCCACCTACTGTTTGTTCAGCAAAAGACAGGTGAAGTTGAGAAAGAGTAGAAGAAAAAGAACTTGCATTCTGAGGAAGGTTAATCAAGTTTGCAAGATCATTGCTTCCTGAAATGGAGTTTTTTTTAAAAGAACTCATAATAAATATAGCACTCCTAATGAAAGAAAGCACACGAATGCTACAAGTCGATCTATCTAATAGAAGTATGTTTTAGAGTGCAACTCTCATCATCAATATAAACCAATGTCTCCAACAGACAGCTAGTTAAGGAAAGCTACAAAAGATTAATGATCCAATATTGTGAGAAAGGCTCTTTCAATAACCCTGAGCTTAACTTTAAACAACCTTATGGAATAATCACCCCTGAATTCTACAACATCCACATTTTTACTTAAAGTAGCAAAAATAAGATCAATTCTCTTTCTGGTGAACTGAGAGCAAAATGTTGACTCCAGAAAACTCCAGTACAGGGGACAAACTGGCCACTGTGTTAACTAGATCAGATCCAAATGAATTTGATGAATCTGAGGAATATCTATTAAATGGTATCTCATCTTCCACCAAATAAAAAACAGTCCTAGAAAGTTATAATCTTGAGCAGGGAAGCAAAACAAACAAAAGGAAAAGATTGCTTAAATTCATAGAAAAAAAAATGAGAAAGTTGGCCATTTTCTCATTCAAAGGGCCACACATACCTCAAATGATTTTCCAAGCTATGTTAAAGCAAGCAGTTTAGAGGATGACAGCAAAGGAGGAAGGAGACGATTCAGAATGGAAAAATGACCAATACAGAAACAACTGAAAACTCTCCTAGTCATATCTTTTCTTAACAATAGCAGTGTTTGTTTTTGATATATATCTTAAATATGACATTTGGTACATGCAGATTTTTACTTTTCCACTATGGTTAGAGTGGAAGCCATTTTTCTTTTCTATATATCACATTTTAATATCAAAATGGATAGACCAAAATTGTTGGCCCTTTCCAAGTGTTTATGTTGTGGTTAGCCGGCAGCAGGTGCAGATGACTCTGATGAGGGGCCAGGACCATCAGGGAGTGGTCTGCTGCCTTCAGAGATTGTGGGGGCTGGCAGCAGTGAGGAGGTTCCCGAGGAGCCTGTGCCAAGTGCACATGCACGAAGGATTACTCGGAGGAAAGAACAATTGCAGCAGCGCGGGCGACTCGGGAGTAAGGCTGTAAGGTAATGGCCCCTCCCTAAAGAGGATAAAAGCCAGATTTGAAAAAGCGTTCTTTGCAGAAAGCAAAGAAACTCTGAAGCTAAACTTGTGGATAACTTAGTTCGTATTTGGAGAATCTTGTAAATTAATTCTTATCTCTGGGTTTTTGGCAGCATTGACGAACAACTTGGCAAGGCTCTTTCTTGTCGGAGCTAATTAGTGGAAAGCAGCCTTTTACCCGTGAAGGAACAGAATTTGTTATTAAACCTTCAAAGGTGGGGGCTGCTGCCTTTGTCTGTGGTTTGTTCTTCGGGAACCCGGTTGGGTCAGAACAGTTTGTGTGTATGTGTGGGACTGTGTAATTCACTAGTAAAGAATAAACCTGAAGTTTGGAGGTGGGGCTAAGAGCTGCAGGGTATGCCTTAATCTGCACAAGTTGTTATCAGCACAACCGTTATGACCTGAAAATGAAAAAGAGTCCTGAAAATGAAAAAAAATAATCTTAATATTATGTGCCCAGCAATTTCATGGAGGATTTCAATAGGTGTTGCAAAAGAGGAGTTGTGGGGTAGGGGGCAGCCGACAGTCCAACCCTCCCCAAAAGAAAGGGCACCAAGTACCACAACATAATAAATCAGAAATAAGCCGTACACTCATTTTGTACTTTGATTCCAATTGATGCTGTCTAGAATGTCAATGGCAAGGAACTGTGAAGCTGCAGTTAAATACACCTGTAAAAAACTAAACTGCCTATCCCAGTTGTAAGCGTAAAAATTGTTTACCATGGTGGATTTCATAGTTATCCATTCCTCGTCCTTTAAACACCACTACACATGGTTCATAAACATACAGACTGTTACAAATATTAGCAGCAGTAAGACAGTCAAACTTCCCAACCTGTGAAAGAAACAATTACAAGTTATAAGTTTAAGGCAAACTTTCCACAAAATAAACATTCTACTTTCACTCTCATTTTTAAAGCTTGTTTCGTTTTCTTCTTTGTCTGTTTTTTTTTTTCTTAAGATCTTTGAGTAAGAAATGACCTTTTTTTTCTTCTTTTTTTGGTAATGAGAGCACTGGTCAGTTCTGACATACAGATTACAGATAATCAGAGTTGGAAGGGACCTTGTAGGTCATCTAGTCCAACCCCCCAAGCCCAAGCAGGAGACCCTACACCATTTCTGACAAATGGCAGTCCAATCTCTTCTTGAAAATCTCAACTGATGGCGTTCCCACAGGGCAGGGCCGAGGGCAAGCTGTTCCATTGGTTGATTGTTCTCACTGTCAGAAAGTTTCTCCTTATTTCCAGGTTGAATCTCTCCTTGTTCAGTTTCCATCTTGTCTGGCCTTCAGGAGCTTTAGAAAATAGCTTGACCCCTTCCTCCCTGTGGCAGCCCCTCAAATATTGGAAGACTGCTATCATGTCTCCCCTGGTCCTTCTCTTTACTAGACTAGCCAATCCCAGTTCCTGCAACCGATCGTTGTATGTTTTAGTCTCCAGTCCCCTAATCATCCTGGTTGCTCTTCTCTGTACTTTTTCTAGAGCTTCAACATCTTTTTTATAATGTGGTGACCAAAACTGGATGCAGTACTCTAGGTGTGGTCTTACTAAGGCTTTATAGAGTGGTATGAGTACCTTGATCTTGACTGTATCCCTCTGTTAAGACAACTTAGGATTGCATTAGCTTTTTTGGTGGCGGCTGCACACTGCTGGCTCATATTTAGCTGGTTGTCCACTAAGACTCCAAGATCCCTCTCACAGTTACTGCTATTGAGCCTGGTTTCACCCAGCCTATATGTGTACCTTTGGTTTTTCTTGCCTAAGTGTAGGACTTTACTTTTCTCTATATTGAATTTCATTTTATTAGATATGGCCCAGTGTTCTAGTCTGTCAAGATCCATCTGGATCTTGAGCCTATCTTCTTGGGTGTTAGCTATTCTTTCCAGCTTAGTATCATCTGCAAATTTGGTAAGTTCCCCTTCTATTCCCTCATCTATGTCGTTAATGAAGATATTGAAGAGTACTGGGCCTAAGACAGAACCTTGTGGCACCCCACTGCTTACTTCCCTCCATGTAGACTTAGGCCCATTAAGGACTACTCATTGAGTACGGTTTGCCAGCCAGTTGCGAAGCCATCTAGTGGTGGTGCTATCTATTCCACCTTTTTCTAGCTTACTAAGAAGTAGGTTGTGGTCTACTTTATCGAATGCCTTGCTGAAATCTAAATATATCATGTCCACAGTATTTTGCTGGTCTACTAATTTAGTCACTGTGTTGAAGAAGGAAATAAGATTGGTTTGGCATGATCTGTTTTTAACAAACCCATGCTGACTGCTAGTTATTACTTTACTTGTTTCTAGATGTTGGCAGATCTGTTTTTTTAAATTATCTTTTCCAGTATCTTCCCGGGTATTGATGTTAGGCTGATTGGTCTATAGTTTCCTGGGTCTGTTTCCCCCCCCCCCTTTTTTTGAAGATGGGAACCACATCAGCTCTTTTCCAGTCATATTTTAACCAATGGGCCTTAAATGCAATCAAAGCCTAGTTTTATCCCAAGCATGTCCACACTGTTCTAATGTGCAAGTTAGAATCTCAAATCTTGAGACTACCTTGCAACTTCATTATATTTTCTATTGTAGGAGAAAAGAAATATCCAGAGAATTCTAACATTATTGGTGTACGCTTCCAAATCTATCCCAACCTGAAAAGGCAAAGACTATTACTTTAGATGCTGATTCAGCACATGCTCTAAATCCTCAATGAAGGAGCAAGTTAGCTGCTGATATGAATATGGCAAAAATGGTTAACTCAACTCTTCCCACTCAAGAATAACAGATAACAGATAATCAGACTTGGAAGGGACCTTATAGGTCATCTAGTCCAACTCCCCGCCTAAGCGGGAGACCCTATACCATTTCTGACAAATGGCAGTCCAATCTCTTCTTGAAAGTCTCAAGTGATGATGCTCCCACAACTTCCGAGGGTAAGCTGTTCCATTGGTTGATTGTTCTCACTGTCAGAAAGTTTCTCCTTATTTCCAGGTTGAATCTCTCCTTATTCAGTTTCCATCCATTATTTTTTGTCTGGCTTACAAGCGCTTTAGAAAATAGCTTGATCCCTTCTTCTCTGCGGCAGCGCCTCAAATATTGGAAGACTACTACTGTGTTTCTCCAACAATACGGCGTCCACCAATAGGAAGGCCCAGCATGTTTTTGGGGCATAAAATCAAATTAAGCCCCTCCCCCCAAATTTAGGCCTATCTTAAAATATGCAAAATAAGGGGGAAGGGCGGGAGACTTGCCGTTAGGAGCGCCCGGCGGGCAGGAATTCCTCGCCACCAGCCGCTCCTAACGGGCGATCATGGCGAAGCGCGGGGAGCTCCCTACTCCCACCAAACACCTTTGCTGCAGACACCTTTGGCACTCGCCGCTGTTGCTTTTCCTTCTGCCCATTCCGCCACCACGTTTGGAGCTGGCGCTTCCGTGTTTGGAGTGTCGCCGCCATTTGGAGCTCCAAACGCGGAAGTGGCAGCTCCAAACATGACGGCGGGCGATCTTTTTATTTTGGTCCGCGCGAAGTTCAGAGCGAGCAAGAGAGGGAGACTGTGATGCCTCCATCCGAGATGGCAACCTCACTAGTGGATCACAACGTGGCTGGAAGCCCGAATCGGCGGGATACGATGGCAATCTTTTTGGAGCGAGAGGAAAGGGAGAGAAGAGTTGCGAGGCGTAATTTGCAGGAGGAAGTGGGTGTACCCCACGGCAGGGAGCCCAAGGAAGAAGGGCCGGTAGGCAACGGAGAGCGTCCCGTAGCTCCGGAAGCAGCCTAGAGACGCGCCCGGGAAGAGGCGCAGATGCTGCCTTGTAGTCCCCAAACCAACTGCGTGCACCGCCTTTAGTTATGTGCACTCCGCCCTCTGGGCATCTCCGTGTGATCGTGACCCTGTCCTTTCCACCTGGCGCCCTTGCTGCTTTCTGGCTTTTTAGCGACCGGCTTCACGTTTGGAACACGTTCGCGTTTGGAGTTGGTTTGGGGACTACAAGGCAGCATCTGAGCCTCTTCCCGGGCGCGTCTCTAGGCCCGGCCTTATTATGTGAGAAACACGGTATCATGTCTCCCCTGGTCCTTCTCTTCACCAGACTAGCCAAGCCCAGTTCCTGTAACCATTCTTCATATGCCTTAGTCTCCAGTCCCCTAATCATTCTCTGTACTTTTTCTAGAATCTCAACATCTTTTTTTAAAAACATCTTTAAGAAAAGGACATGGTGACTGGATGAAGATGGGAAGCAAGCGACTAAAAGAAAGTAGCAGAAAGCTTCCAAATGATCAGGGTTTAAAGAAAAAGACACTACATAAAACGGTGTTGTCTCTTTAAATCAAAGTCTATTGAGCTTCACACACTTACTTGAATATTTTCAGCTTTAAGGAGAACACTTAACTTCTTAAGGTCATGGGTATCTGACTTGCTGTTTTTGCCAAACTGAAAGAATATTAACCATCGATGGTGGGCCACATGATCCTTGGAAAAGGGAAAAGGCAAGGAAAAACAACTCAGGCTTTTTGAAGGAAAATCATATTAAACAGAGAACAGAAAAAGAGAGCAAACAGATTAGCTGATTTTTCCCAGGTGTATAACGTGTCAGGTTATCTGCGGCTCCCCATATTACTTATTGTATGCATGCTTTCTCCCATTGAATAACTCTAAATATGTATTTCTTCTTAACTCACGATGCAATTCTATGAAAGGTTCTTTGAAATGTATATTTCTGTGGAGCCAAACAAATGCATGGGTGAATGTGCTTACTTATGCATATATTGTATTAAACATATGGCATAGCAAATTAAATAAATTTACCAATAATACGTTCATATTATTTGACTTTTCATTCAAAATGTCAGACTTTGAGCTTCCCAACCAAAACAGATTTTATTTCCTCCCCTGCTTCTTACATTCTGGTTTAAGCCAGGTGTAAGCTCGGAGCCATTACTAAACCTCAGGAGAAGGCCTGCACATTTTGTAAATGGAATGGGCCATACTGATGACAACAACAGAGTTGGCAACTCTGGAGATACGTGAGAGTCTCAGTTTCAGGAGGGCTGGGATACAGACTTCCTGGTAACATTTGGCAGCAATGAATTTACTGATAAAAATGCCAGTGGGCCACACAAGGCCTCATGTTGTACAGGCTTACTCTACAGTTTAAAAGAAAACATGGTCCAGATGTAAGAAAAGAGGATTGGTATGACCTATTAGGGGAAAAAATGAGAGAATTTAAGAACTAGATAGATAGATAGATAGATAGATAGATAGATAGATAGATAGATAGATAGATAGATAATAGATAGATAATAGATAGGTAATAGATAGATAGATGATAGATAGATGATAGAAAATAGATAGATAGATAATAGATAGATAGATAGATAGATAGATAGATAGATAGATAGATAGATA